TTTAGAGACCATTTAAAGAATAGATTTGATATATGGAACACCAATGACCGAAACCAGAAATTGTGGGATGACGTCAAGAACATCATCCATGAGGAGGAAAGCAAGAGGTCATTAAAAAGACAAGAAAGGACGAAAGACCAAAATAGATGTCAGAAGAGACTCTGAAACTTGCCTTTGAGCAGAGAATAAATAAGAAAATGGAAGAAATGACAAAATAAAAGAGCTGAACAGAAGATTTCAAAGAGCAGCTTGAACAGAAAAAGCCAATTACTGTAATGAAATGTGCAAAGACCTGGAGTTAGAAAATCAAAAGGGAAGAACACTCAGCATTTCTCAAGCTAAAAGAACTGAGGAAAAAAATGTAAGCCTCAATTTGCAATATTGAAAGATTCTATGGGCAAAATATTGAATGGTGCTTGTTGTTGTTGTTATATGCCGTTGAGTTGGACTTGACTCATAGCGACCCCTCCTTGAGTTTCCAAGGCGGTATCACTACAGAAGTACATTCCCAACCTTCCTTCCGAGGAGTGGCTGGTAGGTACAGGAGACATCAAAGGAAGATGGAATACACAGAGTCACTGTACTGAAAAGATTTGGTCAATGTTTATCCATTTCAGGAAGTGGCACATGATGAAGAACCAATGGTATTGAAGGAAGAAGTTGGAACTGCACTGAAGGAATTGGCAGAGAACAAGGCCACAAATGATGGAATACCCATTGAGATGTTTCAACAAACAGATGCCACACTGGAGGCACTCAATCAGCTATGCCAAGAGATTTGGAAGACAGTTACCTGTCCAACTGACTGGAAGAGATCCATATTTGTACCCATTCCAAAGAAAGGTGATCCCACAGAACATGGAAATCATCAAACAATATCATTAGTATAGCTCACAAGTGAAATCTTACTGAAGACAATTCAAAAATGGGTACAACAGTATATTGACAGAGAGCTTCCAGAAATGCAAGCTGGATTCAGAAGAGTATGTGGAACTAGGGATATCATTGCTGATATCAGATGGATCTTAGCTGAAAGCAAAGAATACCAGAACAATGTTTACTTATGTTTTATTGACTATGCAAAAGCATTTGGTTTGTCGATCATAACAAATTTTGGATAACATTGAGAAGAATGGGAATTCCAGAACCCTTGATTGTACTTCATGAGGAACTTGTACATAGATCAGGAGGCTGTCATTCGAACAGAACAAGGGGGTACTGCATGGTTGAAAATCAAGAAGGGAGTGTGTCAAGGTTGTGTCCTTTCACTATACTTATTCAACTTGTATGCTGAGCAGATAATCTGAGAACCTGGATTATATGAAGAAGAATGTTTCATCAGGATTGGAGGAAGACTCATTAACAACCTACGATATCCAAATGACACAGCTGTGCTTGCTGAAAGTGAGAATGACTTGAAGCACTTGCTGATGAAGATTAAAGACTACAGTCTGCGGTATGGATTACATCTCAATATAAAGAAAACAAAAATCCTCACAACTGGTCCAATAAATAGCTTCATGATAAATGGAGAAAAAGGTGGAAGTTGCCAAGGACTTCATATTACTTGGTTCTACAATCAATACCAATAGAAGCAGCAGGCAAGACATCAGACAATGTATTGCATTGGGCAAATATGCTGCAAAAGACCTATTTCAAGTGATGAAGAGCAAAGATGCCTCCTTGAAGATTAAGGTGCTAACGTAAGCCATGGTATTTTCAATCGTCTCTTATGCATGTGAGAGCTGGACAATGAATGAGGAAGACTGAAGAAGAGTTGATGCTTTTTAATTGCGGTGTTAGAGAAGAATGCTAAGAGTACCGTAGTCTGCTAAAAGACTAACAAATCTGTCCTGGAAGAAGTGCAGCTGGAATGCTCCTTGGAAGCGAGAATGGCCAGACTTCATCTCACCTACTTTGGTCATGTTGTCAGAAGGGATCATTCCCTGGAGAAAGATATCATGCTTGGTAAAGTGGAGGGTCAATGAAGAGGGGGAAGGCCCTGAAGGAGATGGATTGACACAGTGGCCGCAATGATGGGCTCAGGTATAGCAAGGATCATGAGGTTGGCACAGGACCAGGCAGTGTTTCCTTCTGTTGTGCATAGGGTCGCTATGAGTTGGAGATGACTCAATGGCAACTGTCAACAACAACGAGTCAAAATTGATTCTTTGGTAATAGGTTTGGTTATTGGTTTTCCAAATTGACATCTGAGTCATCCCTGAATGGATAAATACCAAATTCTACCTTTTCTGACACAATCTATGAGGATAATATTCAACCTAAATAAAAATCTCCATTTATCACTTCTCTGCCCCTTCTGTTCTGACACCATTTGCCCATTCAGCATTTCTTTCTATGTGTGATTCCCTTATCACACATAGGTGAAATCTTGTAAGTTAAAAGAAAGTCCTCCAGACTGCCAAGTTGGTCCAACTTTAGACATTAGCCTCAAGCTTGAGAGTCCCCATGGATCTCCTCACTCTGGACTTGGTGGCTAGAAATTTGGAGTTTTTCCACTACCCTTTCAGCATGCCACCTGCAAGCTCAGGGGTTCCTAGCCCAATTCACTTCTGACCTACTGGTGCTTACAACTCCCCCAGAGTTGATAATTTATAGGAATGACTCACAGATCTCATAGAAAGCATTATACTTGTGATTATAGTTTTATTATTATAAAGTTACATATCAGGATCAGCACAAAGCAAGCCTGGGAGAGTTTACAATGTGGAGGTTTCATGCCCCATAAAAGGGATGTGTTACTCTCCCATGTGTACTAAAAATAATTGGCCAGTATTCAGTCCATTAACCAACCAGGACTGGTTGATGTCTTCTATCAACCAGGACTCCCATGGAGGTTTCATATCCAGAGCCTTTCTGGGGGCTTCATTACCTAAGTATGATTAATTGAATTATGCCTTTTTCCACTATGCCACTACCACTTGTCTGGTGGTTTGTGTGTTGCTGTGAGGCTGGAGAGTATGCCACCAGTGTTTCAAATATTAGCAGGGTCACACACATGGTGGATGTGTTTCAGTGGAGCTTCCAGTCTAAGACAGACTGGACAGAAGGAAGGAGCCATCTACTTCTCAGATTGGCAAGTGAAAACCTTATGAATAGCAGTGAAACACTGTCTGATATATTACTGGAAAACTTTATGAATAGCCTTGAAACATTTTCAGATACAGTGCAGGAAGATGAGCCCCTCAGATCAGAAGGCATTCAAAATATAACTGGGGAAGAGCTGCCTCCTCTGAGTAGAGCTGACCTTAATGATGTGGATGGAATAAAGCTTTTGGGACCTCTATTTGCTGATGTGGCACGACTCAAAAGGAGAAGAAACAGATGCAAACATCCATTAATAATTGGAACATGGAATGTAAGATGTATGAATCTAGGAAAATTGGGAGCTGTCAAAAATGAAATGGAATGCATAAAGATTGATATCATGGGCTTTAGTGAGCTGAAATGGACTGTTTTTGACCATTTTGAATCAGATAACCATATGATCTACTATGCCAGGAATGACAAATTGAAGAGGAATGGTGTGGCATTTTTTGTTACAAAGAATGTTTCAAAATCTGTCCTGAAGTACAGTGCTGTCAGTGATAGGATAGTATCCATATGCCTACAAGGAAGACCAGTTAATACTATTGTTATTCAAAGATGAGGAAATTAAAGATTTTCACCAACTTCTGCAGTCTGAAATTGACCAAACATGCACTCCAGATGTGTTGACTATCACTGGTGACTAGAATGCAAAAGCTGGAAACAAGAATCACTGGTAGTTGGAAAATATGGCCTTAGTGATAAAAATAATGCTGGATGTTGCATGATAGAATATTGCAAGACCTTCAACTTATTCATGGCAAATACCTCTTTGTAATAACATAAATGGCAGCTATGCACATGGACTTCACCAGATGGAGTACACCAGAATCAAAATGACTGTATCTGTGGCAAGAGGTGATGGAGAAGCTCAATATCTTCAGCCAAAACAAGGCTGGGACCTGACTGTGGAACAGACCATCAACTGTTCATATGCAAGTTCAGGATGAAGCTAAAGACAATTAAAAGAAGTCTAGGAGACCCAAAATATGACCTTGATTATATCCCTCCTGAATTTAGATACCATCTAAAGAATAGATTTGATGCATTGAAAACCAATGACCAAAAATGAGGAATTGTGGAATGACATCAAGAACATCACCCATGAAGAACATAAAGGTCATTAAAAAGACAGGAAAGGAAGAAAAGACCAAAATGGGTGTCAGGAGAGACTCTGAAACTTGCCCTTGAATGGAGAGTAGCTAAAGCGAATGGAAGAATCGACAGGATGAAAGAGCTGAACAAAAGATTTCAAAGAGCAGCTCGAGAAGACATAGTCAGTTATTACAATGAAATGTGCAAAGACCTGGAGTTAAAAAACCAAAAGGGAAGAACACACTCAGCATTTCTCAAGCTAAAAGACCTGAGAAAAAATTTAAGCCTCAAGTTGTAATATTGAAAGATTCTATGGGCAAAATATTGAATGATGTAGGAAACATCAAAAGAAGATGGAAGGAGTATACCGAGTCACTGTACCAAAAAAAAAATGGTTAATGTTCATCCATTTGAGGAGGTGACATATCATCAACAACCAATGGGATTGAAGGAAGAAGTTGAGGCTTCTTGTTGTTGTTGTTATGTGCTGTCGAGTCGGACCCTACTCATAGCGACCCCTCCTTGGGTTTCCAAGGCAGTATCACTACGGAAGTAGATTGCCCCATCTTCCTTCTGAGTAGTGGCTGGTGGGTTTGAACTGCCAGCCTTCTGGTTAGCAGTCAAGTGCCTTAGCCACTATGTTACCAGAGCTCCCACTTTTTTTTTTTTAAATCCTTGAAAATATATTATCAGAGGGAATGAAGATGAAGTATTGAACACATGTACAAGGACTCCCCAGACGGCACTTAGTCGACTTCTTCCATGCGTGACATGTCATCATCTCCTTCAAGGGGTGGCATTTCTTCAGTGACAGCAGCGCTAGTCTCATCAGCAGTACGGTCATCTTCATCAGTACCCAGACCCAGCTTGATCATCCAGTTAGATCCTGTTTGCATGTGTCTGGGGATCTTCCAGACTGAAGCCCGAAGACAGGAGGGCGGTCTCATACAGTAGGATGACCAAATCCTTCACAGATTTGTTTTTCTTGTCGGCCTCGGCCTTCTGCCACAGGGTCTCAACGATGGAGTGGTCAGGGTTGACCTCCAGGTGCTTCTTCGCTGCCATGTAACCCATCGTGGAGTTGTCTCTTAGGGCTTGAGCCTTCATGATTCTTTCCATGTTGGCGGTCCAGCCATACGTGCTTGTGACTATGCAGCACGGGGAGGTGACCAATCGGTTTGACACCACCACCTTTTCAACTTTTTTCTCCAAAATGTCTTTCATGATTTTGCAGAGGTTTTCAAACTTTGTTTTCTTCTCTTCCTGTTTCTTTTTCTCTTCTTCATCCTCTGGAAGTTCCAAGCCCTCTTTGGTGACTGACACTAAAGTCTTCCCCTCAAATCCCTTCAGCTGTTGGACACAATACTCATCAATGGGCTCAATCATGTAGATCACTTCCAATCCGTGCTTCCGAAGATGCTCCACAAAGGCCGAGTTAGCAACCTGGTCCTTGGTTTCACCAGTGATGTAGTAGATGTGTTTTTGGTTCTCCTTCATTCTGGTGCAATAGTCCTTGAGGGAAACCATCTCATCACCCGAGGCTGACATGTAGTATCGCAACAGCTCAGAAAGCTTTTTCCGGTTCTGGGAGTCCTCATGTATTCCAAGCTTAATGTTTTTAGAGAACTGCTCATAAAACTTCTTGTAGTTCTCTTTATCTTCCACCAGTTCAGTGAAGAGTTCCAAGCACTTTTTGACCAAATTCTTCCTGATAACTTTCAAAATCTTGCTTTGCTGCAACATCTCACAGGAAATATTGAGAGGGAGATCCTCGGAGTCCACCACACCTCTAATGAAATTCAGATATTCAGGGATCAGCTTCTCACAGTTTGACAGATCCCAGTAAGCTGGAATCGGGGAAAGACCTACACATCAACCTCATCCCGAACAAGCAAGATCGCACCCTCACCATCGTGGACACGGGAATTGGCATGACCAAGGCCGACCTGATCAACAATCTTGGTACCATCACCAAGTCGGGCACCAAGGTGTTTATGGAAGCTCTGCCGGCTGGTGCCGACATCTCCATGATTGGCCAGTTCGGAGTGGGATTTTACTCAGTGTATCTGGTCGCCGAGAAAGTGACGGTGATCACCAAACACAACAATGACGAGCAGTACGCGTGGGAGTCCTCTGCAGGAGGGTCCTTCACGGTTAGGACAGACACAGGTAAACCTATAAGTTGTGGAACCAAGGTTATCTTGCATCTGAGAGAAGACCAAACTGAGTACCTGGAGGAAAGAAGAATGAAGGAGGTCGTGAAGAAACACTCTCAATTCATTGGCTATCCAATCACTCTTTTTGTGGAGAAAGAACGAGATAAGGAAGTAAGTGATAATGAGGCTGAAGAAAAGGAAGAGAAGGAGGAAGAGAAATAAAAAGAAAAGGAGTCGGATGACAAGCCTGAGATAGAAGATGTTGGCTCTGATGAAGAGGAGGAAGAAAAGAAGAATGGTGACAAGAAGAAGAAAAAGAAGATCAGGAGAAGTACAACGACCAGGAGGTGCTCAACAAGACGAAGCCCATCTGGACCAGAAACCCTGATGACATCACCAACGAGGAGTATGGGGAATTCTACAAGAGCTTGACCAACGACTGGGAAGACCACCTGGCGGTGAAGCATTTCTCAGTTGAAAGACAGCTGGAATTCAGAGCGCTTCTCTTTGTTCCAAGACGTGCGCCTTTTGATCTATTTGAAAACAGAAAGAAAAAGAACAACATTAAATTATATGTACGCAGAGTTTTCATCATGGATAACTGTGAGGAGCTGATCCCTGAATATCTGAAGTTGAGGGTACTCTGAAGGAATTGGCGAAGAGCAAGGCTCCAGGAATTGACGGAATACCACTGAGATGTTTCAACAAGTGGATGCTGCACTGGAGGCACTCACTTGTCTGTGCCAAGAAATTTGGAGGATAACTTCCTGGCCAACTGACTGGAAGAAATCCATATTTGTATCCATTCCAAAGAAAGGTGATCCCACAGAATGTGGAAATTATTGAATAATATCATTAATATCACATGCAAGTAAAATCTTGCTGAGGATAATTCAAAAATGGTTGCAACAGGGTATTGACAGGGAACAGCCAGCAATGCAAGGTGGCTTTAGAAGAGGATGTGGAACAAGGGATATCATAGCTGATGATAGAGATCTTGAGTGCAAGCAAAGAATACCAAAAAGATACTTGCTTGTGTTTTATTGACTGTGCAAAAGCATTTGATTGTGTGGATCATAACAAATTATGGATAACATTGAGAAGAATGGACTTCCAGAACACTTAGTTGTGCTCATGAGGAGCCTGTATATAGACTAGGAGGCTGTTGTTCAAACAGAATAAGGGGATACTGCATGGCTTAAAATCAGGAAGGGTGTGTGTCAGGGTTGTATCCTTTCACCATACTTATTCACTCTGTATGCTGAGCAAATAATCTGAGAAATTGGACTATATGAAAAAGAGGATTGGAGGAAGACTCATTAACAACCTGCAATATGAAGATGACACAGCTTTGCTTGCTGAAAGTGAGGATGACTGGAAGCACTTACTGATGAAGATTAAAGACTACAGTCTGCAGTATGGATTACACCTTGACATAAAGAAAGCAAAAATCCTCACAACTGGACCAATAGGCAGCATCTTGATAAATGGAGAAAGGATTAGAGTTATCAAAGATTTTGTATTACTTGATTCCACAATCAACAACAATGGAAGCAGCAGTCAGGACATCAGACAATGTATTGTACTGGGCAAATATGATGTAAAAGACCTCTTTTAGGTATTAAGGAGCAAAGATGTCTCCTTGAAGACTAAGGAGTGCCTAACCCAAGCTCCAGTATTTTCAGTCGCCTCATACGCATGTGAGAGCTGGACAATGAGTAAGAAAGACTGAAGAAGGGTTGATGCTTTTCAGTTGTGGTGTTGGCAAAGAATACAGAAACTATCATGGACTGCCAAAAGAAGGAACAAATCTGCTCTGGAAGAATGCACGTGGAATGCTCCTTGGAAGAGAGAATGTCCAGACTTCATCTGACTTATTTTGATCATGTCAGAAGGGACCATTCCCTGGAGAGGATTATCATGCTTGGTAAAGTGGAGGGTCAATGAAAAAGGGGAAGGCCCTCAACGAGATGGATTAACATAGTGGCTTCAATGGTGGGCTCAGGTATAGCAAGGATTATGAGGCTGGCACAGGACCGGGCAATGTTTTGTTCTGTTGTGCATAAGGTCTCTATGAGTTGGATCCAACTTGACAGCACCTAAGAACAACAACAACAACCAGGCCAATATCATGCACCGATCTTTCTGGCCAAGTCAGCCCTCACCTGGATCATCTCATTAGCATAAAATCTCAGTTGCTATCTGGCGTTCTAGATAGCAAGGCATCATTTATTCAGGAAATTCCAAGAGTTGAGACGTATCTCTCAGGAACTAAAAACAAAGACCAAATTACTTTGGGTAAAATTAAATTCTTTACCTACAACTACTTTTAAAAATATCATCTATAGACAGTTTAGGGTGGAGAAAGATGAGTAGGTTAGGGAATTTAGTGCACTTAATTATCAGCTAAGAATAGAACAGTGTATGTGGGATGGTCATAATGTATTTATCTTGCTTCATCTAGTTCTGAAGTTATTGCATTTGAGACATCTTCTATAGACAAGTTTTTTTGGTTTGTTTTTAATGATCTTTATGTCATGAAAAGGAGCTCTGGTGACATAGTGTCTAAGGCATTTGACTGCTAACCAGAAAGCTGGTGGTTCAAACCCACTGGCCTCTCCTTGGAAGGAAGGTTAGGCAATGTACTTCCATAGAGATACCACCCTGGAAACCCAAGGAGGGGTCACTATGAGTTGTAAACAACTTGATGGTAGTGAGTTTGTTTTTTGGTTTTATGTAGTGAGAGAAGAAAGTCTTCCAGATTATGGAAGATAATAATTTGTTTATATCGTTAACAAAGATTAGTATAGCAATTCTGTTACATCATTGGCAAAAGATATGTATATGTAGGTTGAATTCCAGTTGGGCTGACTCATTCCTTAAACATTTTGACTTACTTAAAGAAACTAATCAGTCTATATTGTTTAGAAACTATAAATTGTACAGCATTTTCAATGGAAGTAATTTTCAGTTTAGCCAATGAACTTCTTTTGAGGTTTGTTTGCTTTTAGCATGGTTGAGTTTATGCAAAAGTATGACCCTGAGAGCAGTTAATTATTACTGTGCATGAAACAGGACCTCTAAGAGTTCTTAAGAAAAATGAAAAGATGTGACATTTTTGGGGATGTAAGATTTATTCTTCACTTACATCTTAAAAAAATTGTTTGATTTGGCTTAGCCATCTGACTAACAACAAAAGCGAAACAACTAAAGTGCCCATGGTAATTCATCTTCATTTCCAAAATGGCAGTTCCTTGTATTAAGATCACAGTTCTGCTAACTTTTTGAATGGAGTGAATTACATAGGAGAGTATTTTCAACCCCTACTCCACACTTACCCTAGAATCTACTGAGCTTATTAAAAACCTAAATGTGCAGAGAAACACCAGTAGTCAGTGTAACAATATATTTATTGTGAGTAGATAGATTCAAATTGGGCAGCATCAAATCAAAAGTATTGTGAAGGTGCTTGTCTTAGTTATCTGGGGCTGCTACAACAGAAATACCACAAGATGATGGTTTTAGTAAACAGAATTTATCCTCTCATAGTTTAGGAGGCTAGAAGTCCAAATTCAGGTTGCCAGATGTAAGGGAAAGCTTTCTCTCTCTTGTCTACTTTAAGGGAAGTGGACAAAGTTGTCTTTGTTCATTATCTGTGGGCCTGACATTGCTTGGAGATCTCCATGTATCTTGGCATCAGTCTTCCCTTTGGTCTAGGAAGTTCTTAGTGCAGGTTCCAAGGGATGTGCTTCTCTCCTAGCTCTTCTTTCTTGGTGATACTAAGGTCCCTCTGATCTCTACTCACTTGTTTAATCTCCTTTATATCTCAAAAGAGATTGATTTAAGATATAGCCTAATGCTATGGATTGTATCCTGTCTTATTAACGTAACTGCCTCTGATTCTGTCTCATTAGCATCATTTAAAAAAAAAAGTCACTGCCGCCAAGTTGGATCCAACTCATAATGAGCTCTCCTTGGGTTTCCAAGGCAGTATCACTACGGAAGTAGATTGCCTAACCTTCCTTCTGAGGAGTGGCTTGTGAATTTGAACCACCAGCCTTGTGGTTAGCTGTCAGATGCCTTAGGCACCATGCCACCTGAGCTTCCCATTAACATCATAGAGGTTAGGATTTACTACACATAGGATAATTATATCAAATCACAAAATGGAGGATAATTGTATGCTATCGAGAATCATAAGGTTTTCTCTGGCCAATTCTTTGAGAAGTTGATGGCCCCTTCCTTCTTCTGAGCCAAGTTGACACATACTTTTCTGGGATACATTTCAATCTATAACAACACTTCAAAGAGAAGATAGTAAAAACAGGTTATATAGGTAGGATCTGCAAAGGTAGTCTCCTAAAGGTCATTGTCAATTCCTTTCACGTTGGTTTCTCAGGAGATAGAGTCTGAGCATGTACAGAGTTTCAGGGTCAGTCAGTTATAAAAACAGAGTCATTAAGGACATGCCATATATCCTAAAACACAACTTCCAATCAGACCCTTGAGTTGCCAACCTCTCGAAACTGTCTTCGCAATATAAAATTCTCCAAAAGAATCCATTGCCTAAGGCAAAATGATCTTCATTGAGCTGCTTAATAGGCTGTTTGAGGAGGTGACTCCAGAAAAACCAATTCCTTATGGGCTCAAGGTTTAAAAGGACACCTAAGGCCAAATGGGCCGGGTGGTCACTCCAACTCCTTGCTCAGAAATCTGGATTCCAGGAGAATTAAAACAGTTTCTCAAACTATATAAC